TTTATATATATATATATATATATATAATATATATATATATATATATGTGACCCTCTTGAGAAAAGCTAATTGTTGTATCTGTAATTGAGTACTTCTCCAATCCTGTACATCATATACAGGAAGCAGTATGTGGGTCCAGTAGTGTTACTTTAGAGCTCACTGGCTGCAGAAACTCCTGAACATTTAGAACTACTCAAGTGTCTGCAAATGCTGAGGGAATTTCAATTTTAGGTGAACTGTCCCTTTAATGACGTGTGGTGTTGCTGAGAATCTATCAAAAGGTTTAATAGTTAAAGGTAAACTTGTGATTATTTTATTTTTATTTACTTTTGTACTTCACAAGTTCTCTTAAGTAGTTTAGATGTTTGTACTCTCACCCATCGGACAGCATGCCTACAACAACTTAAGGTAAAGATATCGATTATTAACACATTATTATCATTTAATATGTAATTAATCAATTCTGACAGAGGTAACGCATGCTGAACTAATCCAATCTGGGACACGCAGCTGCGCTCAAAGATCTCAACAAAGGCCTGCTTGTTGCACCACTGTCAGTGCAAGACGCCATTCTGGACGGATCAGTCAAGGAGAGCTGGCTTTCTTCTGGAGAGAGTGGGGTGGGGGGTTGAAAAACACCATGGACTTTAATCCTTCTTGACGTCCTGGAGAAATTATAGCAGAGCCATCAACAAAGTCAGAAGGGAGAAAAAGAGATTCCCGTTGTTCGATGACGTTCAGTGGGATTTTACTAAGTAGGAGATGCTTCTGGATCAACATCTCTGTTGGTCCTGGAACAACATCCCAATCAGCCAATCAGATTTAAGCGATAAGTTTACAGTGTATGTTAAGTTTACAGGTTTACAGTTAGGGTTATGTTCGACTTTAATATTGGGAAAAACTTATGTTATGGAAATGTTTCATATTGATGGTAATACATTCACCAGCCACTTTATTAGGTACACCTGTCCAACTGCTTTTTAATGTAAATTTCTAATCCGTCAATCACATGGCAGCAACTCAATGCATTTAGGCATGGTCAAGACAATCTGCTGCAGCTCAAACCGAACATCAGAATGGGGAAGACAGGTGATTTAAGTGACTTTGAACGTGGCATGGGTGACCGAGGTCTGCAGAAGAGCATCTCTGAACAGACAACACGTCCAACCTTGAGGCGGATGGGCTACAGCAGCAGAAGACCACACCGGGTGCCGCTCCTGTCAGCTAAGAGTCTCTTTTGGCTTCCAGGGCTCCTCCGTGAGACTCGAGGCAGGTGTTGCATCCAGGTGTCTCTGATACTAACTCCACCCACCTCATACGCCCTCACGGCTCTCAGCCCCACCCCACTTGCCACAATACATATTCGAGTCCTAATCGGGAGGTAACGTCCGATTCCAACTGAGTCTAAAACCACCTTATCTGGCCCGATTTTCGATCATGTGATCGGTTCTGAACATCCCTACCACAGTCAGCCGGCGACTTGCGGTGCCTGTGTGTGCGCACTGATATAATCCTCCCAGGTAGCAAATAATTCTGGCCTGGAATTGGCATAAAGCTGGCACAGCAGGCACTGGCATACAGCATGTGGGCCAAATATGGCCTTTGTTTGGCAAAGGTGGCACACAAGATGTAAAAGGTAGTATTTGGCCCAGATGGTAGTAATTTATATGTTGGCCACGTAAGTTTGCCAAGTCTTGACCAACATTTCAAATACATTACAATCATTTTTGAGT